TTTTATATTTTGTAATTGAAATGTAAATAATTTATTAAAACAAAAAGTTGTCTCTCAGGAAAGTTACTACTAAAATCAAAACAAATTTCTCTAGGGCTCTATTTACAATGCCAAAAAACTTGCATAAGCACAATTCCTGACTTTCATGAATGTAACCAGGGTGGTTATGCCCCAGAACTGAATAATAATTAAAAGTTAGATATTGGCAGCTTCAGGCTTGCTTTTCCCCAGGAGCCTAAGGGGTAAGCTTTAGAAGGCAAACTTCACAACAGCCACTTCATTACAGAAAGAACATGCATCTGATCCCCAGAAAGGCACTCAAAACTAACATCTCTGTGGCGATGCAAGGATGGCCCACATGAAGAGGATACGATTTCATGCTGTCAACCATAAGGATTCCCAACATGAGTTTACAAAACAGACTTCATTTGGGACACTTTCATCCATCCTTCTCACTAAGCCTGTACAGCAAAGGTGTTCAACTTTCCTAAAACTCCTATGTGACCTTAACAAAAACTGCACGTGGCTCAGGGAGCTGAGGCAGAGGAGGAAGTTCTGGGAGCAGTTTCTAGGCAGAAGACAACGGCTTTGAAGGCATCCCAGCTGGATGGGGCTGATGTGAGCACACAGCTGGATCCAGTGCCTCTTGGCTTCAGCAGCCTCTGCTGGCATTCTTCTGCCCAGAGCTGGGGATTCAGGTTATTTGCCACCCCAACAGCAAAGCCCTTCTACCAAATACGTGGCATCACCTCCACTTAACAGCTCACAAACCATTGAGTTTGCCATCATTTACATTTCCCAATTTTCCCTGCAACCATGAGGGTTAGAAATATTTTTTAAAAATGGGATTTGAGAACTGCAAGTCAACATGCCTCTAGTTGTTGAGGCTTTCGTACTTGTAGTATCTTAGTAACTACTGTACTCACAAATAACAAAAGTAATGGTACTCTGCAATATATTAAGTAGTCCTCTGGAGATGAAAGGCTCAGGACCTGATGATTTTTTGTTCATGAGCCATGGCATGTCAAAGAACAAAGTGAGCCTGGCAGGGATTGATGGAGATTAAAAGTACACGAAGACACGTACACACACAAAAATCACTATGGAAAATGTGCTGCCTAACTCTGCATGAGTGAACCCAACAGCTCAGGCACCTTGCTAAGCTCCAGTGGGAAGAGGGAAGTACTGCAAGGGACATTCCTGGGTGTCCACTCACTGTAAGCCTGGGCCGGGGTGAGAGGTGTGCTTGGCTCCCGGGGCCACGGCGAGCAGACGGAAACATTCCCGGTTGTGTCCCAAAGCAAACAGCAATAAAACAAACTGCTAATGAGGATGCAACCTGACCCTCTGCAGAGTGCATGCCCAAGGACCGCGGGACTGTAAGGGGAAGGGAAGCACTGTGTCGGCAGAATCTCCAAGCTCAAGGGGATTTTTTAAAAGAGCAACCGAAAAAAAAAATGTTTGGATACTTTGCTGGTAATAAAAGTTACTCATGAAGTAACCCAGAGCAAACACTGATTTGAAGGAAAGAGAAGTCTGTTAAACAAAGAACTTTACTCTGCAGAAAGAATTCCTTTTTAACACTAATGGTGACATTTCATTTTTTGTAAGATATGCCAGTGAATCTTCCCTCAAGACTCTTTACTCCAGACAGAACACTTCTCTTTCTTCCCCTCTCTCCCTGCTGATATACTCTCCATTCCAGGAAAGACACAAATTTTTATTCACACTTTCTGCTTTTCTTCATGGGGCTGCTATCACACTGATACACAAACCATTCTCAAAGCTATTACAGCCTAGGGACAAACATCTAGATTTTAGTATTTTACAGCAGGAGACCAGCAGCTCCAGGAGACTGAAGAACCCATGAGCAAACTATCCATGACAGCATTTACAACCTAGTATCTGGTGTGTTGGGTTTTTTTGTTGTTGTTGTTTTTTTCTTAATAACAAGAAAACAATCCAGAAGCCACTTTAATGTAGTGAAAGACAACCTGTCATTCTGACACATCCTCAGTTTTGTGGAAGTCAAGTCAACAGTCATACTTGGCAAGGAAGATGTGACGGCATAAGGCATTTGGTTTGTGGAAGGACATCAGAGGGAGCTGTTTTGAGTAGAAGAGCAATGATAAACCTGGATAGTGCCCTGCAAAGAAACTGTGATAGCCAAGAGTAATCCAGGGTGTAAGAAGTTTGGGATCTGATGAACTAGGGACAAGATTGTAGAAATGTAAATGATACTGGAATAATGCTAATCAAACCCAAAAGTTAGACATGGACACAAATATTGGAAATATCTCGTTGAAGGTAATAGGCATGAACACAGTCCTTAAACACTTTGGAATTATGGATGTCTGTTTTCCCAAGTTTCTGGACACATACCACTGCTAGTATCTCTGCCTTAAAAAGGAGCAAACACACAGGGATGTCAAGAAACACACAACAAAGCAGCTGGGCCAGTTTACTGAGCAAACTCGCCACGTCCTTTGGAAGCCAGGTGGGAACAGAGCTCTCCTGACCCCTGAGCTGAGGGGCTGAGCAGCCTCTCGGCATTGTATCATCTCTAATCCTTGCTCTGAACTCAGTGCACCTTCAGCCTGGTTGGTGTCACTGTGCCAGTCAGCCAGAAAAGCAGTGAAAGGGAGCAGGAAAGCAGGAGTGTGTCTCACCCATACAAAAGTTGTTCCCCTTTGTTATTGTCCCTTTGAATAAACGGTAGCTGAGAGAAATTTCCTTCTTGGGATTGTTCCTGAACTAGTAAATGCAAAGCCACTTGCTGCAGAGGGTATCTAAACTTTAATAAAGAACTGTAATGAAATTCAGGTCCAGGTGCTGAATGACAATCCCACTATGCAGAACATATTTTTCCTATTTATTTTCATGCTCAGATTTCACCTGTAAAACAGGAACATTAAGGCAGCTCCTCAATCTCAGTCTGTTCAGTTGGCATACTCACAAAGAAGATTTCCAACAAAGGAATCAACAGCTTTCCATTGCAACTGCAACACCAGAGCATCCCAAAATGCTTTTTCCTGCGACACTGTGCTCAACTGTTCCAGGTACATTAATGAGATCAGGTCTGTGACACATCACAACCCCAAAAGCTTCCCACCTAAGCCTAGGAATGGAATAAGCAATCCATCACACAGTGTGACACGTTCCCCAAAACACACACACACTCAAAACCTGAAAGTGGTGTCAGAATGTTTATTGAAGAGGGCAATCTGACTGGCTGAACCGACCTGGGTAGCCGGTAACTTTTAACATAAGCAAACAGAGATACTGTAAACCTGCTGTGCATGGAAACTGTGTTTATACTTAAATTGGACTTGGAAGACTGAAATAACTTACTAGAAAAATATAGCTAAAGTTCCCAGGAGCTCTGAATGACCTTGAGATCATTCTGAAAAAACCAGAAATATGTAGACATATACAGTGATGCAAACAGAGTTACACAAATATTTTCGAAGTCAGCTAATAAAATACATTTCCTTGCCTATTTTTTATGATAGCTTTGCAAACATACTTTTAAAACCACACTTTTGAGCCCCACCAAGAATTTTTTTTTGCCACTTGCGTTATCAGAACTGATGGTAAGCATTCTGCAATGTAAGTGCTGCCTCATTTACTTCTTAGTGAGTTTTGTAATTGCTGGATCTGTTCCTTTTAGATAGACTGCTGAAATTCTTACTACCACATAACAAGACAATAAACTTTCTTAGTGATGCAGTGGAAGTACAGAGGAAGACAAAAAAAGAAAAAGATACAAGAAACTTCATATTTTTCTCAGTGCAGCCAATACAGTTACAAAATATTTTGATTTATATGACGCCTAAATTGCTGTACAGAGGCACATCTGCATGGAAAGTGATCACAAATCAGAGAGATAACAACCACCACAAATTGTGAGCTCTGTTACTCATGAACCTAGAAAATAATTATTAGCAGCATTAAAGCACCCAGAGTAATGTAACCTAATGTTGCATAACTGTGATCAAACTGCTATGAAAACCAGAAAATTGCTAATTCTAATAGTGTTCTGCCTAAAAAATAATGAATAAAAGGAAAGGGGATTGCTATTTTATAACTTGAAAACAGCCAGGGGAGTCTGACCAAGTTGTTTTTATTCTTCTACCCCATGGGCTGGTACTAGAAGCTGACCCTGAAAAGGAAAGCTGGAGATGCATGGAGCAATGGATTGCACGTTATCCATGAATCTGTATTTGTACCTGCATTTTCCACAGCACTCATACAATCTCCATTTAGCAGGAAAGCACCACACATGCAGGCAGGCAGAAGGGACTGTGTTTTCACAGCAAGGTGCTCATCCTGCAAAGCCCGATTATGTCCAGGATTGGGATAACCTGGGAGCATGCAGATCAAATCAAGGCTTTGATGGAGAGAGGCGGGTTTCAGTTCAGCGCTGGCATTCCCCATAAATTTTGGTGTAAAGTGTGGGAATAACTGACCCTCTGAGAACATCTGCCAATCTCCTGAGAAACAGGATCGTGAATAGGAGTTTCTGGAAAATAATTCTACTCCGCGACCGGGGGTTGTAATGAGGTCGGTGGAGGCCCTCTGAGAACATCTGCCAATCTCCTGAGAAACAGGATCGTGAATAATTCTGGAAAATAATTCTACTCCGTGACCGGGAGTTGTAATGAGGTCGGTGGAGGACGGTCTCCCGTGCCTGCAGTGAAAGGTAAAGAATAAATGGCTTTAAGCTAAGAGACGGCAGATTCAGAATAGACAGTAGAAACATTTTTTCCCTGTTATAATGGTCAGACATTGCAACAGGCTGCCCGAGGAGATGGTGGAGTTAAGAGGTATCTGGATCTGGCACTGGGCGATGTGGTTTAGTGAGGGTTACAGGGGCAGTGCTAGGCGGACGCTTGAACCGGATGATCTTAAAGATGTCTTGCAACCTTGCCGATTCAGTGAATAAAGGCGGCGAGACTCCTGTGTCCCGGTTTGGGGGTGTGAAACTCAGCATTCCGTGATTCCGGCTCCCTCTGAGGGCAGAGGCCGGGGAGCGCCACAGCCCCGTCCGTCAGCTCCGGTGCCGCTCCCGGCCCGTCCGCCGGCGGCTGCGCGCGCCTCTCCCCTTCCTCCTCCTCCTCCTGCCGCGGCCGCTGCCCCCGCGGCAGGGATGGAGGCCATCGAGGAGCTGGCGGTCCAGCCCTGCACCTCCTCCCTCTACCTGCGGCCTTTCCGCCTCTCTTACCGGCAGGTGAGTGGCGCCGCCGGCCCGCCCGCCCGCCGTGCCCCGTTCCTGCGGGGCCCGTCAGCCCCCGCCTGCGCCATTTTGGAGCAGCGCCGGTGCCACCTCATGGCACTCCGGCGGCGGCCGCGCTGTCCCCGGCACTCCCTCGGCCCGCCCTGAAGTGGGGTTCGAGGAGGGCAGCGCAGATGGCCCGACAGACCGTCGGTCACTGCCTTGGGGAGCCACCGGTTCCTGCGTCCCCATGGGTGTTCCCTGTGCCTGCCGCCCGCGCGGGGCTGGGGCTGTCACTGTCACTGTCACTTTCACCTTCACCCCGTGCTGCTGTTTGGGGTCACCGCTCTGGAGACATTCCAAACCCGTCTGGACTCATTCCTGTGTTACCTGCTCCAGGTGACCCTGTCATGAGAGGGGATTTGGACTGGGTGATCACCAGAGGTCCCTTTCCACCCTGAGTGTTTTGTGATTCTGTGAACAGCCTCAGTGCCCGCAGGCGGGAAGTGGGAAAGGAAATCCTGTCCCTTATCATGTCTGTATCAACATGAGTCACCTTTCACAGGATCACTGAGAGAGAGCTGGTGCTTCCAACAGCGGCAGGAATGCGAGCTTTGAAGGGAAAGTCACTTCTCCCAGTGCAAAGCATTGCGTGGTCCTTGGGTGCTTTCCTTGGGCCTGGCTGGTGGCTGGTCCAGGGTGAGCTTTTACCCGGGCAGAGTGGTGGAAGGGGAAACGAAGGAGAGTTTGGACAGTCCTAGAAATGGATGGTGGAAAACACATCTCTCATTCCTTCTTTGCTTTGCTTCTAAACACATCCAGCACTGTTTCCAACACAGTTGGAAAGGCAGAAGAGGAATGTCCTGAGTCCAACAGTGAGATACACTACAGAAAATGAAAAGCAAGGGTTCAAATAGGTTTCATCAAAGCAAATGAGCTGATTTTTAGCATTATTAAAAATACATTTAATACATGATTTTCCTAAAGAAAGCTCTCTTCTCATTGGTTGGGATAAATAAACAGTTTTGATTTATGAACAGCTGAGAGCTTTATACTGAGTTATGTCTTTTTTAGGTATCAGAAGTAAACCTGAAAAACATTCTTTTATGTTCTGAATTTTTGCTGGCTTAGCTTACAAGTGATGGGTCTTACTGCTTCATTAAATTTTCACTTCTGAGTCATGCTCTATTTACATGAAAGATGGTATTTAATTAAAATGTTTGAAACAGTATTGCAAAATTACATTTAATTGAATAGATGTGCCTTAGATGTGATGAGTATTGTAAAGAAGAAATAAGGATATGTTTGGTCATGTGCTGTGAATTGACGGAGATCAGCATTGCCACTAAATGAAGTATACTTGCCCTTCTTGCTACTTCCTCTCCTTGCACAAGTGTCTGTGCAGCAACTGAGTGAGCTGGACCAGGGTAAAAACTAATCTAGCCAAAAAAAGAAGTCACTTTGAAGGTAGACAAGATCAGTGATTCAGTTTGTTATGCTGGCAGAGGGGAGGTGGTAATGTGGTAGTTAGGGATGAGTGTTTGGGGCCTGGTGAGAGATTGTTTCTCTTGGCTGCAGCACTGTCTTAAAAAGAACTTGAAAATGTAGTTTCTATGGCATCTGTGCAGAGGCTGGCTTGGGTCCAGCCCACTGAGAGCATGAGCTCAGTGTGAGCACAACTGTCTGTACCTGACCTGAGAAACAGGCCCTAGGTTTATTGAAATCCATTTTGCATTTAAAAAGTGACTTACTAACCAGAGGAAATACTAAATATTTTCACTCATTTGTCTGATTGTTTCAAAAGCATTTAGGTCTGCTGAAAACCCCATTAAACAGTCATGTGTCTAAAATCCAAGATAGTTAGGTGCCTGTTCTGCTTAAGAATTTTGAAAATTCTACCACTCCTCTAAAACTGACAATTGTTTCCAAAATCTAGCCCTTGATCTTAATGCTTTTATACTGAGTAGGTCTTCCCTTGTCCAACTATTTTAATTCACTAGCTGGAAGGAGAAAAGAAACTTTTCTTCCTCCCAGTTCCTAATTGTTCCTAAGTAACATTAATTTTCCCCATCCATGAATTCCCTGCACTTGCTTGCTGAACTTGACCCAAATCTAATAAAAAAGTCTTTCTGGGTAGCAGCATAATATAATGGAGAAAACTTGAATAATGGATTTGTTGCATTGTGAAAACTGAAACTAGTTTGGATACTTAAATTATGCAATATGTGGAATTATAATGTAATTGGAAGGCTTGGGGTGGTCTTGTAGGCACATTTTGTGAAGCTATGACACATGCCCTATAATTCATTGTAGTCTGGAGAAGATACATTGATGCATTTTTTGGTGTTCAGGTAATATTAATGAAGGATAATTGGGGCCTTGAAGACTGAGAATTTGAAATCTATTTTCAAAGAGGTGTATTCCTAAAATAGGCATTGATATTTAACATAAATCTTCTGTCCAGGGACATACAGAGAGTGAGAGAGTTTTTTATTAATTTGTTTTCTTTCACAAGTACTGCTTTTCTGTACAAATAGGAAATTGAAAGAATTTTTATATGCAGTGTAGGATTTTAAGATTATTTCTAAGCATTCATGAATGCTTAAGTAACAGCATTGATTTCTAGACATTTCATATCAAAATTATGCTACTTGTGTGGAGATAATTTGAGTCCTGCTAGTGTGTCTAATATAGCAAGGTCTTAAACATAAATTTTATTATTTTAAGATAAATTTAGATAGGTGATTTACATTTCAGTGTACCCTGCTAGTTTGGGTTTATCCATTCAACTTGTACCCCCCTGAGTTCTAAACCACTATCGTTCTAGCAGCTTTACAAACCACTAAAAATCTGTAAGACATTAGAAGAGGATTCATTTGGGGGCTGAAATCTAAACAAAATGCTGAGTAAATTATCTCATTTGGTCGGGGCATGGTGCCAAGGTCACAGGCTCAGTCCCTGTATGGGCCATTCACTCAGAAGTTGGATCAATGATCCTCGTGAGTCTTTTCCAACTCAGAATATTTTGTGATTCTGGAAATACTTTTGTAAGCTCACACAGGTTACACATCTGAAGGAGGCTGTGGTCACACCTGGTGAAGAGTGGAGCCACAGAGTCAGATCATTGTCTACCTGCTCTCAGAGGCATTTTACACATTTACAGTTGCAGACCCAAGGACTGCATTAATGTTTTGGCCAGCTGAGTATTTTCCTTGGACATACAGATGCTCAGACTGGGAGCTGTGGACAAACACAAGAAGAGAGTTGTGTTTACATAGAATCCAGCCAGGCAATTACTGTCATGTTAGAAAAAAAACACAGCACTGTCCTTTAGGGTTGTGCTTGAGTCCCAAGTTCCCCTGTGTTGTAACAGGTTGAGTCATCCTTTAGACTGTATTTGGTTACATATAGAAATACTCTCCCAAAAGTCTGTGAGAGAAATGTCCTTTTCTGGCTGTTTCACTGAAGTGAGGACTGTAAGAAATCATGGCAGTTCCTGAAGAAGGAATGGTGGAAAACCATTCAGCAGTTTTTGCCCATGATGGATTCTGTTCTTCCCATGAGTGCTTTTCATATGAAGTGTTTCATCATCCTCTCCTTCTACCCATCTGTATTTTAAATGAAAGCAATGAGCGCTGAATTTTTCCCATAGAGCATAAAAGTAGGTGTATACCTTTCTGAAAGACTTCCAGGTTTTGAACCTTGAAGACTGAGGCACCCTGCAGCTTAGTGTTGGGCATCCAAGCTAAGGAGAATAGCCTGGCTTGCTGGACAAATCACTCATTTAAATTATTAGTTCTGTCTTTGTGTAGTGTAGGGGTAGAAATGGAAGTGCAGCCAAGGAATTGTGGAATTCAGCAAACTGCAGTCAGATTTCGGTGAGGGCCGATATGGAGGGGTAAAGTACAAATTAAGATTATATTCTTCAAGATGAGTGTCTGACAGAACTTCAAAAGGGACCTCAGCTTCTATTTGGGATTTTCAGCTGTCAGCCCTGCTCCAGGTGGGGCCCTTAGTCAAATCAGCCAAGTCTGAAGTGAGGTAGCCTGGGGCTGAGATGGACAAGGAACCTCATGTATGTCCTGAGGAATATTCTCTTCGTTTTGTCAGTAGGAACCCTGTGTTCCTATATATTTTGGTTCTGCTTGGTAGTGAGAGAAGAAAAGTAATTTTTCTCACATAGAGGATAGCATCTGTCTAGCTTTAATGTGTACTTGCCCCCAAAGTGCAAATTGATTTGTTATCTAAATTGGCTTTTTTTTAAACATACATCACCTCCTGAAGAATTGGCTTCTTTACCAGGAACTCCATGGTAAATCTCTTTTCACTTTTTCCTATTGAAGTTTTTCTGCTTTTCATAAATAATTTATTCAAGAGACCAGAGGGATGGCTAATGAGAGATTAACTCAATGCCCAAGGGCTAGGGCATTTCCCTGGGATGTGGTAGAGTCAGGCTGCAAGATCTCACTTCAATTAATATTGCTTCCCACATCACAGGAGAGTGTGCTCACTGCTGGGAAACACATTTTTGTGTAAATCTTCAGCTCTCTTTTGTGTATGCTAGCCAGGCACTAGCCTATATATTAGCCAAAAAAAAAAAAAAAAAAAAAACCAAAAAAAAAAAAACAAAAAACCAACAAAAAAAGTTTAAGAACTCTGCTGAGACTCCAAGTCATGAAGTCAACTCTGAGTAGTCAGCAGTTAAGGAGAGTAGTTAGGATTTTGAGCAGCATTAAGTATCCAAATGGGATTTGGATACAACAAAATCAGCACCTGAGCAGGGAGGGATTTCAGTGGTTCTGTGTGTTGGATTTGTACCCTTACACGGGGTTTTGACAGAGCTATGGTGGATCTTGCTGTAGCAATTTAAGAAGTTATTGCATGCAAGTTTTCCCTGTGCTAATGGTTCTTACCCCCTGGGAATCAGCAGAAGGTGGCTTTGCTCCAGCTCTTGCTCTGTTGTTCCAATTCAAACCCACTGCCATCAGCCCTTTAAGCTGAATCACTGAGCTTTA